CTTCAATATTCGTAAATCATATTAGATCTTCATTGATCTAAAGTTGAGCAATATAGACATTATTTAAAAAAAAAATTTCAATGCTTGCTTTCTAATTTATAAAATTTAAAATCAAATATTATTTAAGTAAAATCAAACTCTTTTAGTTTAAAGCACACTATGTTGATATGGTGTTTGGTAAGGTGTTTGGTAAGGGTGGAAATTAAGCACCCAAATTATCTGTTTATGTGTAATATTTGGACAATAGAAAAAGATCATCGTCCTTTAATTTTTGGTTTGCTTTTTGCCGCTTGGGAGAGAAGAATTTTGTGGTGGAACCGTAGAACTGTGGAAGGCCATCTCCCTAGTAGGGCAAAAACCCCTCACTTTGCCTTTCAACTTTTCGAGTATAAGGGATTTTATCCCTCATTTTATAATTTATGAGTTTTTGTCCTTTAATCTTTTAAATTTAAGATAAGGTAATATTCAATGTCGCATGATCACATACAACACATGACCATTATTCCTCCGTTACTTATGTCACGTTAACACCACATGAGTGTCATGTTAGCACCACATTAGCACCCATATTACATATTGACACTACTGGCTTAAAAGACAAAAACTCATGTTTTACTCTTTTCATTATCAATCTTGAGGGTTTTTGTCTCTCACCTTATAATGTATGAATTTTTGCCCTCCAACTTATCGATTTGAGCAAATGAGACAAAATTTAATGTTCAATGATCATATGCAACACATTGGCTTTAGAGCTTCACACAACAATATGTTAGCGCCACATGGGATCATTGTTACATATTGGCAATGCCAACTTGGGTCCACATCTATTTTCAATGTGGGTTCAATGCATTCTCAATTTTTTAATAAAAAAATGAAACTACCATTCTTCTTCCTCTCAACCATTCTACCCCCATCATCTTCCAAACTTTCCATTTTGAACTCTCTAAATTAAACAAATTGATGGAAAATGAAAGCTAGAGGTGAGGATGACTAAAGTAAGGGAGAGAAAATATGAATTAATTAATTTAATTGAAATTACTCAATTTAAAAATAATTTATTATTTGATATTAAAATTTATA